GGTTCTCAGAAAATGGAAAACATTGTTCCACCTTTTAAAAAAATTCTGTAAAGATCCTAAACCAACTACAGCATGTAGGGAAGCTATCCTTCTCGGAATACATGTATTATTTTATGATATTGGAGGCCCAGCCACCCCAAAACACTCCCTGAGCTCAAGAGATATTACCTTGGACGATCTCTCAGACGGATTTAAAAGTCCAGATATTGTTTCTATTTATCTTAAGTTTATTTTTGAGTTTTCATACCACACAAAGTTTGGTCCATTCAAAATCGTAAGTCTACCCTCTTAAACAACACATCAATGTTCGAAGTGGCGTTCAAGCAATACCTTACAATGCTACGTAAACACCTCGAAAAGTTGCCACTGTACTTTCCATAATTTTCTTATTCTGTGGTTGGAGATGAATTTGACCTTGTATATATTGTCTTTCAGATTTGCAGTCGGGGGAGAAACGGCTACAGCAGACAAGCTCTTGTAACCTAACTTGAGAATCCAGCGTTTCAGATGTGGTTCTTGGCTCAGCTTGCACCAAAGCATTCGTCTTCTGTATCAACAACAGGTCAGTAAATGCGTAACGTTATTTTGTTTCATATCACCAACGACCAATTACTGAAGTGCAATTTGCTGTAGCCGTGGTCTGCAATACGAAATAACTTTACCTGTCGTTGGATTCCTCATAGCCCGCTATCCTGACAGGGATCCATGTTCTCTACCTACTAGATCACCTGCTTTTCATCAAGGCAGCATGCAGAATTCCAGATCACTCATCATGGTGAGACGTTCAGACATATAGGTATTGTCTACTTGTGATGAGCTGACGCAAACATCTTCCTGCTTCTGTGTCTATCTATCTATCTATCTATCTTTCTGTCTATCTATCTATCTATCTATCTATCTATCTATCTATCTATCTATCTATCTATCTAGCTCAATCACAGGCACACACACACACACACAAACAAACACACACACACACACACACACACTCACACACACACGCGCGCACACACACACACACATACAGCCTGTTTGTTCTCTCTTTCTCTTATTTTCCTTGTCTTTCTTTTCTTTCTTTCTCTGTCTGTCCCTTACCTTTTGTCTCCATTACTTTTTCTTCACTCATTCCTACAAGACCTCTTTCTTTGTCTTAATTATAAGCAGCGACAATAGTGATAATAATGATAATAATAATAATAATAATAATAATAATAATAATAATAATAGAATAATAACAATAATGACAACAAAAACAACAGCAGCAGCAGTAGCAACAACAACAACAACAACAACAACAACAACAACAACAATAACAACAACAAATTGTATACAGAACAGCAACAGCGAATGCAGCAACAACTATAAAAGTTACTCGTACTCCTGCTCCGTCCCAAAAGCATGACGTCGACTTACCTCTAGTTCTGAAATTAGAATATCAGTTACAACCAGCCTGTTTCTTTAGCAGATACACCCCCACCCGCCCCATTCTAGCTCTTTACCCGTTCCACCCCCCCCCCCCGAAACACACACTGAGCTAAAACCCAAACAGGCTAAGAGAATAATGAGAATATTATATTGGAATACAGAACTTCCAAGCGTCACTCAAGTTCATAACCAACTACACCACAAAGGGTTGCAACTGTTTTACGCATCCATCGTCACGAATCAGATACTTTGTCTGAAGGGTTATTGGTTATTACATCCCAGTTTCCAGCCTGTCAGGTTAGCTCCTTCAGAATTATGACGGAAACGTAGATTAGATAGCTTCCCAACAAGGAAATAGAACTCGAGTCTCGAGTGTGGATGACAAAGAACTAAACCATTGCAGCACAATCGTCTGTCCCACGGAAGTTGATGAGCAAATCAATTCAAGCTTTCCAATCTTTCGTCTTCGTGTGTAAAGAAAGATTGAGTAGTCTGCACCAGCTAGTTCTCTTTCAGAACATGAAATTGCTCCCGTGAGTCCTGTTTACTGAGCGGATTGATGTACTGTCTGGCACTGCGGTGTGAATTGGCTGAAACGATGTTTTCTATGTATTGTATGATCACACAATGCCTTCTCGAAACTTTGTGTAACGACTTACTGCAGACCCCCCCCCCCCCCTTTCCCCCTTTTTTGCTCCTTTTCTCGGTAGTTTAGTAAGGGGACTTACTCCACTTTTTTCTTCCGCTTGGCGAGTGGCCTGTAGGTGGGACATCCCGTGAGCTCTGAGGGTGTCTGCCACAGATTCACTCCATCGTCGCCTTGGTCTTCCTCTGGCTCTCCATCCAGAATATTTAATGTTAATGCTCTCAGAGCTGGATGGTTTGAGGACATCCGCATGAGGTGTCCAAACCACTTGACTTGTAAGGGGAATATACTCATTTTCGCCCCCAATTGTTAAAACTCAGAAATATAGCACGTCTACACGTTGTACAGCACCCTTCACCTATCAGCAGATTGTTGACAGCCAGACACACTTTACTAGTGTTCATGATACAATGGTTGTCTCTTCATCCTGTATGCAAAGACATCTCTATTTTTTAATAATAAAAGTATGGCAGATATTTAATCAAGAATCTCCATCTTTTTGGAGGGTTGATCCAGCTCCGCTTGGGTTGGCCCGAACACGTAGAGTTGACGCAGCATACATGTACTTACTAAATGTAAATGACTTCGATGGGGAAGCAACACATTTAAACTCAGTCACACATTTCACAAACACATTGTCTTTCCCTTTCCTCACCACCTATTGCGTAATAAATAATCACAACCTCCCTTCCTTCAAGCACATGCCTGAAGAGCCGTCGAACTGCACAACCCCTCACACCTGACCAAGACACACAACAACCCCTCTCCAAACACATATGCACGCGCACACACGCACACACACACACACCTACACATACACATACACACATATACACACATACATACATACAGACATACTCACATACACACAGACACAGACATACACACACAAACAGACACAGACATACACAAACACACAAAACACACACACACACACACACTCACACAACTCATTTCAGATTGGGCGACACATACATCGCCCCACTCACACTCTCTGAGGGTTTAGAGGTTATCCTAAAGACAAGATGGACCACCCTATGGTGGTCAACTGATCGAGGGTCAAATAATTAAAGTTGATGGTCGAGGAAAACAGATTTCATCCAGACTTTTCAAGTGGGTTTAAAGCCTTTTGCACTCGGTATACTAGAGGAAATATAAGAGGGACAGACCCAAGGAACAAGAGCGAAGAAGAAAAGGTGCAAGGTCGGCAGGAGGGCGCAAAAGGGGGGGGGGGTATTCTAAAATTGGAGATGAACAAAACAGTTGACGTGCTTTTCTCTACGTTTGACCAATTTCTCAACCTGTCTTTTCTTTCTGGTAAAGCGTTTGACGGTACTTAGTTAGCCTCACGATCGATCTCGGGCTTGGTGGGAAAACTGCGCTGTGCCTCTTCACCTCTTTTCTGCAGGTGCGGCTGGTCAAGCAGATGCCGGATTGAGCGAGATAAAAGTACATTAGTACGTTAAAAATGAAGTTAAAAAGAAATAGAAGTGGCTTTTGTTTTAGTTAGATTTTCAAATTTGTCTTTCCTAGTTTCTTTTCCTACATATTTTCAAAAGCGGCAACAAAATATCGTCAATGTTACGATAGTTAAAGTTTTTTAAAGTTCACAAACAAAAATGGGAATTTGGTACCCAATAAAATAACATCACTGTCTTTCTGAATGAGTACCGTATTTCACAAAGAATAAGTTGACGTCAAATGAAGAGTCGGAGAAACCTTCCTCTAAAAGATATAAATTGAGTAAATAGGGTGCATATTATTAATTATCATGAATTCACCAAGCAGTCCCCGCCGTGGATATTGCACTAAGAGTAAGATGAAAAAAAAGATGTCAAGAGAGGAAACCGTTCCTGCTTCTTTAAAATATCCTTTCAAAACCTCCGAGCAAAGCACATTAGTGGGTGGTTGGCGGGTGCTCTGGTGTGATTTGCTCCTTCTTTCCTATTAAAAAAATGTATCGTCTCTATCTCCCCTCCTTTTTTTGTGTGTTTGTTACTCTCTTGTAACACCTCTAATCTCCGGCACTTACATGACCTTATTGCGTTGCAAGTGCCGTAAAACTCTTACTAAAACTAAAAGAAGCACATTGCCCATGTTTACGGGAAAGAAAATAAAGAATCGTGCTCGTAGCATGGGGGGAACACGCAAACCACCGCTTTCACTTTCAGCCACCTAGACCTCAGAGAATAATGAACAAAGAGCGATAGAGGAAGCGTCTTCCTCCCGAGCTACGTGGCTAGACTGATGATTCGTGTGATTGAGTCTCAGCGGACGTTTGGGTTTTAGCTTTCATTATGTTTTTACACCTTTTTAGTGCACAGCTATTCAAGGTGTTGTTCTTATGTTGTGCATTTCCTTCAGGTGATAGAGCTGAGATGCTTCTTCCGCGGACACAGACAAAACCATTTTTTACAATCCTGAATTTTTAAAGGGAACAAACACGTGATGTCTGGATTGCACGACGAATGTTTTAACTCTTAAAATAGGCCGGGCCCATTTGACCGAAATCCTATTTCAGTTCACTGTTTAACAGAAATACATCAAAACTTTGCTAGGTTTGCAATATGCCTAAAAATATTATATTATTGAATTTGTGAGTTTGACATAATATTAAATAGTCTTCACCCAAACCCCTTTCTCTCTCTCTCTCTCTCTCTCTCTCTCTCTCTCTCTCTCTCTCTCTCTCTCTCTCTCTCTCTCTCTCTCTCTCTCTCCCTTTCCCTCTCTCTCTCTCTCTTGCTCTCTCTCAATCCTACTCACAGTCCTCTCTGTCTGTCTGTCTGTCTGTCTGTCTGTCTGTCTGTCTGTCTGTCTGTCTGTCTGTCTGTCTGTCTGTCTGTCTGTCTGTCTGTCTGTCTGTCTGTCTGTCTCTCTCTCTGTGTACGCGCGCGCGCGCGCGCGTGTGTGTGTGTGGTAGTGTGTGTGTGTGTGTGTGTGTGTGTGTGTGTGTGTGTGTGAGTGTGTGTGTGTGTGTCGTATATTCTTAAGCATACATACCTAAACAAGAATAGCAGTAATGTGACTTTGAAGCAAATGTCTATCTCTCTATCTATCTCTCTATCAATCTATCTATCGATCTATCTATCTATTTAACGACTTATCTACAATATATTTCTTTTTTCTTTTTTCAAAATTTAGAATTTGAATATGTATGTCGTACTGTGCGTTTGCCGGTGTGTGTGTGTGTGTGTGTGTGTGTGTGTGTGTGTGTGTGTGTGTGTGTGTGTGTGTGGTTTGGGGGGATGGTGGGTGGGGTTACAAGAAAGCATTACGTCATACGTCACTGGATCTGGAGAAACGGGCACATGGAGACAGTCATACGTATTAAGAGAATTTAAATACTTAGTACGAGAAAATATTCAGAGATGCGTTTTTTCAATGCCACTCTTAAAATAACGTACACTGTCCGATAATGATAACAAACTGCAAGGTCCAGAAATTTCCAAGGTACTGGTACTCAGTGTTTGTGTGTGTGTGTTTTATTTCTT